AAGAAAGGCCTGGCTGAAAGGGTGGCATCCAAACAGTGACCTAAAGGAGGACAGATATATATGCAAAAGCTCTTCTACAACGCGTGGCACAGAGTCAACATCATGATTTTTGTCTTATCACTATAATTTTCATAATTATCCAGAGACTTCTTAGTTGCCCAGAAAAGTGGCTTACGTAGAACTGGTTGAGACAACTCAAACTATTAATATTACTACAGCTACTACTGCTAACTGTATTATCAAGATTTGTTGAATACATTTCTAGTCTCAAGGTCCAAATTATAGAATCTGACCCTAAGAGAATAACTTTCCCAACTCTGTGTAAGAGAGATTCTCCTAAAATCCTGATTTCTTTGTAGATTTAAAAAAGTATCAAACTAACTTTCAGTTATAGATAACTGTTTATACATTTCTCTAGTTTTTAGTTAATTCCCTTTCCAGGAGCTTTCAAAACTAAAAATAAAAAGGTAATTCAAACTGTTACAAAGCTAATTGAAGAAATTTTGTTATATGCAGATTCAGAAATTATTTTTTTCTGATTATGCAGAGTGTGAACTTGGGTGAATCACTTCAACACTCTGGGCCTTTATTTTATACTTTATTACTTTCAAAATTAATTAACTCTACTGCTGCCTAGAATTCTTGCTTAAGTAAACAGAATTTTCTATGACTAGCATTAATTACTTACTCAATGGAGACAATGACAGCATTCAGTTCCTCAGCCATTACAGTGCACAGCTCATCATAATATCTGATTTCTAGATAAAAAAGAGAATGGAATAATCACTACAAATAGGTCATTTAATACCATTGAGTCTTAAATTCTGCTAAGTGTGGACAATTTTTAGACTTGGAGTTAAGTTACTAAAAATAAAAACATAGGCCAGGCATGGTGGCTCACGCCTATAATCCTTGCACTCTGGGAGACTTAGGCGGGTGGACTGCCTGAGCTCACGGGTTTGTGACCAGCCTGGGCCAGAGCAAGACCTCATCTCTAAAAAATAGCTGGGCATTATGGTGGGCACCTATAGTTCCAGCTACTTGAGAGGCTGAGGCAAGAGAATCTCTTAAGCCCAAGTGTTTGAGCTGTGACACCACAGCACTCTACCCAGGGTGACAAAGTAAGACTCTGTCTCAAAATAAATGAATGAAATAAAAATAAAAATATAATAAAAAGCAAATGCGAACAAATGTTTTAATAGAGTTAATATACAAATAAATCTGGTTTCCGATAAAATGCTATTATTATAAATAACAAGACATCCAGAGTAGATTTCGAGTGCGTCTTTAACTAATAAACATTTATTTCATAATGGACTATATGAAATGTACCACATTAATGTGATTTTATAGCTCTTCAAATGTACATAACCTTCCAAAAAATAACAATAAAAACTACAGCAAGTAAGCAACTACATAAAAGTTTGCTGTAACATCTTCATTTGCTGAAATTCAGGGAAGTTGCCAATTTGAAGAATATATTCTCTTTAAACCAAACATAAGAAACTAGAATTTTAGGAAGTTTGAGCATTTTTTAGAAAAAGGATTCAAAGGTCTGCAGTGACAGAAGCAATTTTATTGTGGAAAATTCTTGCCTTTATAAAGTTCATCTTGTCTATTTCCACTTACTATAATAAACACATAAGTTGGGCGGCACCTATGGCTCAGTGGGTAAGGCGACAGCCCCATATACCGAGGGTGGCAGGTTCAAACTTGGCCTCAGCCAAATTGCAACAAAAACTTCAAGAAAAATAGCCGGGCATTGACTCTGTCTCAATAATAATAATAATAAATAAAATAAACACATAAGTTAATTTTCTGGTTGATTTTCATTAAATCCCTTACTTGTTTTTTAATAAATTAAGGTCTACATTATGCCAAGAGACAGCCCAAGGCTTCCTTATAGGCATTCCAAGGTCGTCTTAGAACCAAAGGTTTAAGAACAACACAACCACCTGCAAAGCTCCACCAGCCCAGGCTCTTTCTTCCTCTGGCAAGAGTGATCAGTCAGAATTATGCAGAAAAGGTCAGGGAGACCCTGGACTCCACTCCTGACACCTGTGCTTACTGCCCTCATGTGAATCTTGCCTGGCCAGGAAGACCCTGGACTCCAGTCCTGACACCTGTGCTTACTGCCCTCGTGTGAAATCTTGCCTGGCCAGGGAGACCCTGGACTCCAGTCCCGACACCTGTGCTTACTGCCCTCATGTGAATCTTGCCTGGCCAGGGAGACCCTGGACTCCAGTCCTGACACCTGTGCTTACTGCCCTCATGTGAATCTTGCCTGGCCAGGAAGACCCTGGACTCCAGGCCACTCCTGACACCTGTGCTTACTGCCCTTGTGTGACTTTTGCCTGGCAGGTCTCAGTCTGTTCTAGGTCAGAGTCTGTCCTATTTGCGTTGTATCACTATGCTCCAGCACACACACATTAGAGTAAGCAGTGGTCTGGGTTGGCCCACAATTTCTCAAGCTTTTGCACTGAAGCACCACACCCAGGAAACATGCACACTCAGCGAGCATCTGCTGAGAACATGAACAAATCACTGAGTGAAAGAACAAACAATGGGTGTGGGAGTTAAATGAGATCGCTAGAAAAAGTTATGCTTCTGACCTTTATTGCATTTTTTTAAAAATCGTATAATAATAAAAGAGATAAATAATCATTGCTTTTAAACTTAGGAGATGCCAAAAGCTTAGGGCTGAAGATGAGAAGTAGGTCACCAATCATTACAGCAGCGAGAAGGCCCCAGCTCCCCCTGCTGTTTACTGGGCCACCTGCCATCTGGAATGTGTTCTCTTCCTGAAAGTTATCTAACTCTGAAGAAAACATTCTTGAACTCTGTAAGACCGTTCCTTTTGTATTTTAATCTTTGTTTTCATAAGCAGATAAAATGTTGAGTTAACATGTATATTAAGAACATACCCGTTCATTTTGTAGAAATGTCCCAGACCATGAGGGAGCTACGGGCAGCAAAAGAGCCCGGACCGTGAAGCCTCACCTTGTCTCGGGGCAGAAAGCTATTACTAGTGCTTCACATTGAGGCAGTCTAAGGGTTAGATCACAGGAAACATTTTCATCAGGAGGAAAAAAACCCAGATTCCCTGAATTAACAAACAAACTTCCAAGCAAAAACCTTTACTTGGGTAACCACATAATTTATCATACAAAGGGTTTGGATGACAGTGAAAAGGGGACACAGCTAACAATTATGTTGGGATAATAAGGGCAACTGAGACTGTTCAGGGGAACTGAGACAAAGGGCCCCTGCTCTTTCCCCACTAAGAAAGACAGATTCAGTCACACACACACCCCCCCAGGGCCAGCCCCAGTGCCAAACGATCTGGGGTGATCAGGACATACTTGCGCTTGCCAAGGCCCAGCCTCCTCCGTGGACATACACAACGCTCCGCTGCAGCGGCTCCTCTGGCTTTCGAGGGCCTTCGAACACCCTGACTTCCACGCCATCAAACTCGGTGTCTGTCACCTTCACTTGGGCAGATGACCAGGCAGTTTTTTTGCCGAAAGAAACAATGATAAAATTCAGTGCAAGCAGGTGATGGCTCAGTCCCAGGTAGTGTATGAGGTTACTCTGCAGGATGAGGGAAGAGATAAAGGACAGTCCAGTCACCTCTGTCATCACCAGAGCTACGTACACTAACGCTCCACATCCAAATCCCTACAAAAGACTGCACAGCAACCTCAAACTCCTGGGCTCAAGTGATCCTCCTGTCTCAGCCTCCCTAGTAGCTGGGAGTGCAGGCACCCACCACAATGCCCAGCTAGTTTTTCTATTTTACTAGGGGAGGGGGTCTCGCTCTTGCTCAGGCTGGTCTCAAACTCCTGAGCTCAAGGAATCCTCCCACCTTGGCCTTGGACATTTTTAAAACAACCAATTGTATTTACCTTTTGTTTTTAGAGTGATAAAATATTTTCACTCATAAACTCTCATTTTCTTTTTCTTTTCTTTTTTTTTTTACAGTTTTTGGCCAGGGCTGGGTTTGAACCCACCACCTCTGGCATATGGGCCAGCGCCCGACCCCTCTGAGCCACAGGCACTGCCAAACTCTCATTTTCATATCAACTCTGACAAAGGAATTAGACAGCTGTCACCAGCACCATTTTCTTAAGAAGGCTTAGAAATGAACTAAACTTGCCCATTTAGTTAGTGGTAACTTAGGACTTGTGAATGGATGCAAATCTCCTTTTTTTCCTCTAAATAAACCCATAGCTGTTCCAATAACATACTTCAAGTGGGGAAAGGATATTTCATTTAAATGCAAATAAAAGAGGGAAAAGTTTTATGTTTACATTAAGTATTTGTGAGGTGCTTTGAAGCTTACACATTAGAGTCCAGTTGTTTGTGAAGAGAGGTGAACTGGGGCTCTGGCATTTGCAGGCAGACCAGCAGAAGTACCCAAGAGCTTTTCACAATTGATCTTAGTCAACAGGCCAAGAAGGAGCAATAACCAGGAGCTTTCTAGAAGTGTGTCTGAGTCTCCCCTCCTCTAAGTCTCCTCCTCTCTGAGCCCTGAGGGAACTCAGTGTTCCTGGGAAGTCCTGGCTGCAGGAGTATAGACAGAAGAGACGGAGGTTGCCCACCCAGAAAGACCTTTGAGTTGGTTCCCCTCTTTCCACTTGTACAAGTCCTCAGAAAGGGGACAGCTGGAGAGTGACAGTGCTCTTTTGCAGAACATAAGACGGAACACTGGTGGCTAATGAGACCATGAAAGCCATCCTAAGATTGAGGAAACAATGCTCTTGGCAGAAATCACAGCTACACGGTGATGTCTGCAATGCTCAGTTACACGGCTTCAAGCCCAGGCACGGGTAGGCTGCAGTGTCCTCCAGGGTCACAGGAGAGCTCGTCCCTCAGCCTCTGTGCAGCCTGGCTATGGGTCTCGGTGTGCCTATAACTTTATTCCTCTGCTGAGTGTGTGTACACACCCTGTCATGAAAAGAATTAGAAAGCAATGCATTATAAAACCATTAGCAAGTGTTCATGAAAAGCAAGGACTAGAAGAAATGCATTGAGCAGTGAACAGCCATTCCAGAAAATCCATTAATACTCATTTGCTGGCAAGTATAAGCAGCAGAGAAAATGAATATTAATAAAATAATTCATCATCAATATGTGCCCTGACATCAATTACCCAAATTTGCTGAAAAAGTTAAAACAACCGTCAATGTCTGTGACCTTGAATAAATGCATGTGTGTGATCACACAGAAGATTCTAGCCATTGATTCAAGTTCTCTGCCAACTCATCAATAGAGTTTTGTGGTGAAATGTTAGTCTGACTTGGGGAATATCGAGACCTGGCAGGGCACAGCTAAGAATAACCGTATTTACCAAGGTTTCTAAAGCACATACAACAAACCCTCGTCGACACAGATGGACACAGGGTCCATTCCACTCATCACAAGACAAGTGGTGTGAGAGGCAGGAAACAATGAAAAATGAACACAGAAACGGCAGAATTGGCCCTCTCGTATTCTACACTATGTTTTTTAATTAAATTAATACTTTATTAAGACATATTATTTAATATATGAGTTTCTTTAACCACAGGAAACTGTACAACACGTGGATTGCCTTTACTGGACAGAGGTGAGAAGACTGTTCATTTTCCAAGAGAACCCACCTAGGCTTCTTTTACATAACTTGTGCTGAGTACACGCAGGTGTGACTGGTGTCAATCCCTTTCCAGAAGCACCTCTGCGCATCAGCTTACGTTCACCTGCATGAACAGAATTTCCGAACAACCATCTGGGTTGATTGCAATAGTGACGAGGTGATGTAGTGGCAGAAGTGCTGATCAGGAAGCAAACAGTTTGTTTATGTAGAGAAAAAAGACAGGAGTAAGAAAGGGTAGGAGGATGGAGGGATGGATCCCAGAAAGCTGCTAAAAACAAACCTCTGCTCATGTTTGAAACTGTATTGATAAATTAGAGAACAGAACAGCTATCCAACAGCCCATCTCAAGATTGTTTCAAAATGTGAAAATGCAAGGAACTGAACAATAAAGTGTGTCCTTCACTACTTTGAATGTTAGTTATTAATAGTAGTTAGCACTACCCGAGAGCCTGCAGTAAGTGCTAGGGCAGGCTGTTAAATGTCAGCTACAATTCTGTGAGGTAGGTATCATCTTCCCTGGAGGGAGGGAGGAGAGACGGATGGGTATAGAACCTGGATTCTTAATACCACCAGGGGCCGCAGAATACAGAGAATTGTCCTAGGGGTGTGGCATGGCTCAGTGTGGGTGAGGAAGCTATTCTGAGCTCTATAGATGACATTCACATGTCTGAGAAGGCATGTGGCATGATGTAACTGGGAAACTGTCCAGCTTTTCTTCTCTGATGTGTACTGTTTCCCTTGGCTCTTCTCTCTGCTCCTTCCATGGCTACTGGCAGCAAATAAATGCAGCAGCAGAGCCTTTCTTATAGCTGTTATTTCATGAAGAGGCCATGAGAAAAATAGAGAAATGGAAGTTACTTTACTTCTTTTGATTCTTAAAAAGACTTTGTCATTTGGGGGATTAAAAAAATAGACGTTGATTTAGAATTACATGATGAGTAAGAAGTCTCCTAGAACAGAAGGTGACTTCTCAGGCTAGGTGGAGAGGAGAGGATCAAGTGTTGGAGATGAAATGAGGGCTGTATGACTAAGTATATGGGATCCAGTGAAAAAAGAACCCCAGGACGCAGTAGCTCCCAGCAGGTCTGTGGTGACTGAGCAGCTGACCATGCCTCACGCCCAGACAGGACCTTGGAAAGAGGCTGAATCCTCGGGAAGAACAGGTACAATGTTACATCTAGGTAGGTGGCACCTCAACTGGCTTAAAGTGTCCCCAGGCTCCAGCTGGCGAAGGAGCAACAGAAGCATTCTGTGTGCCCAATAAAGGCACAGAAGCAGGAAGGTCTTTGTGGATATCTTGCAGACAGACCTGAGACAGACTCTCTGTCCTCCACAGCTCATTAGATGGACTTGAGAGTTTGGCAGGGACAGAAGTGGGCACTCCTGGACCTGAAGAGTCCATTACTTTACCCTAGAACAAAGGCTAATCCAGGGATAGTAGCCAAACACCAAGGCCCAGGAAGAACAATGATGTGCACTGAGCCTGAGTGAGACCCCGAGAGCTTCCCAACCCTCCACCCCTCAGCACCATATGAGATCCTCCAAAATCTAAAAGGAAACAGTGATGAGTGAGAATTCCTAAGCTTACTGGGATTAAGTTCCTACTTCAAGAATGAATGCTCAAAATATAGATCAACTGGCTCGGCACCTGTAGCTCAAGTGGCTAAGGCTCCAGCCACATACACCTAAGGTGGTGGGTTTGAATCCAGCCCAGGCCTGCCAAACAACAATGATGGCTGCAACTAGCCGGGCATGTGGTGGGCGCCTGTGGTCTCAGCTACTTGGGAGGCTGAGGCAGGAGACTCGCTTGAACCCAGGAATTGGAGGTTGCTGTAAGCTGTGACACCATGGCACTCTACCCAGGGGGATAGCTTGAGACTCTGTCAAAAAAAAAAAAAATTATTTATATATATGTATAGATATATAGATATATAGATAGATCAACTTATATTTCTTGTATCCTTAAGTTTCTGAAATAAGATTCGGATTCACTTCTGTAATATTCTGGAATGAGCACAAAGTTTCCTAAGACCTCTTTAGAAGGAGCTGGAGACTCTGGGAGCACACAGAGGCAGCTCAGGGTCAAGGTCTGTGGCTGGGACTGCTGTGCCTGGTCTTGGCCAGGTGAAGAGCTCTAGGGCAGGGTCACAAGACTCAGCTCCATGACCATTCCATTCCAGGATCTGGGGGAAGAATTCTGTCCACAGAGATGGAAGCGTCTGCACAGCTCCTTAGACCTCAGTGGAACCAGACAGGGAAATCTGGTGGAGGTGCTGGATCCCTCCCCAGGCCTGACTGCAGGTGACCAAACTGAGCAGAAATGGTACTCTGTTATTAATATGTAAATTGGTCGTTTTATTTATGAATGAGATTGCTTTCTGTTGATTAATTAGACATATATTATGGAGTGTACAAGTATCCTATGGGCAGAGAACTTGGAGGAGGGAGAAAGAAACAATCTCCTGGAACTTAGAGTAACAGAGGGAACCAAGGCTGGAAAGGGAACAGCTGCTGTTGGTGAGTGACCAGCATTAAGTGGCAAGAGAGATCCGGGCTAGGGCTCACAGGCTCGGAGAAGAAAGGGATTTCTTCTGTCTGCTGACGAAGTCCAGTCAGGCTCCTGGTCTGAACTGGGCCTTACTGGAGGAAAAGGAGGCAAAGGCCCACAAAAGGACTGGAGCCAAGGAGCCAAGGTGTTTTAATTTGAATGCCTGGGGGCAGGAGGCAAGAGAACAGGGAATACAATAAAAGGTTAGTCTAAAAGAGATGCCTGGCAGAGAAGTCAGTGGGACACCCCACAGCCAGCCTGCCTGAGTGAAAGGCCCAGCCCTCGGACCAGCATGGACCTCCCTGCACCTCAACATCCCTCTGCTCTGTGGAAATATTAACACCAATTATCACAAAAGATGGCTGTGGGACCAGAAACTGAAGCACATGGGACAGTGCCTGGGGCACA